TGGGTGTTGGAATACTGTATGACTGAAATCTAATCATGAAAAGTGTTGTAAGGGTCTGTCTCACAATAAAAAAATAAAAAAAATCACTTTCAGGGGAAAAAATAAAGAAGCCATTATAAATAGTATTGTAAACTGTAGAATCTCTAATATATATATATATATATATATATATGTAACTTTTTTTCTTTTGCTTTTTGGGTCCCACCCGGCGATGCACAGGGGTTAGTCCTGGCTCTGCACTCAGGAATTACCCCTGGCGGTGCTCAGGGGACCATATGGGATGCTGGGAATCGAACCCGGGTCAGCCACATGCAAGGCAAATGCCCTACCCGCTATGCTATTGCTCTGCTTCTATTATATATATATATATTTAAAGTCAAAGGAAAAAGGACCCCAAGTTGAAAAAGTGTAAATAAGATTATCTACATTGAATGGGTTTTCTGTTAGAGGTGGTCCTAAATTTCACCTATTCTCATGGCGTCACAGGGTTGTATAACTTTGGTTTGTCCTTTCTCCCTTACCGCAGAGAGCTTAGGCTTATTGGGTTATACTCATCACAGTGCTCTTGAGGCACTACCATTCCTCTGTGTATATCTTTAACTTCTCCTCTATGCTCTGCTTCCCCTATATGTTAATCACCTATAAATCCAAATCAGTTCCTGTGACTTGTAAGATCAGATCCTTGTAAAGACTCTGGATTTTGTATTTGTAAGTGAAATACTGCTTTTTTTTCTCCCTGTGTCCTTTGCATAGTTTACTTTAGAGCAATGTCCTTTTTGTATAGACACAGGAAGACACTTAATGCTATGCTTTTGTAACTTGGAGTTAATTGACTCCAAATAATATTTACTCCAGAGAATCTGTCATATTTACTCGACTTAAGCCTCAGTTGCCCTTAGTTCCTAGCACCCCGAAAGCAGGGTCCTGACGAAAGGACTGGATGGACCCAGGGCAAGATGTAAGCCACCCTGGCATCAAAATAGGACAGGCCAAGTGCCATAAAACTTATAATAAATTGAGAGCATGATCATGGATAAATTCTGTCATGACCCAAAGAGATGTGACTGGACAAGGACCCTGCCAGGGTTAGGAAGGAATAATCTGGCCTGAGGTCTATAGTCTGGGATCTTTAGTAAGATGTCCCCAGGTAGATACACCCTGTAAGCTTAATATAACTCTAACTGCACTGCACTGTGGCACTTGTCCTACCATTGTTCATCGATTTGCTCAAGCGGGCCCAGTAACATCTCCATTGTGAGACTTGTTGTTACTGTGTATGGCATATCGAATACGTCACGGGTAGCTTGCCAGACTTTGCCATGTGGGCAAGATACTCTCCGTAGCTTGCTGGGCTATCCGAGAGGGGCGGAGGAATCGAACCTGGCTCTGCAGGCCAGCGGCTTGCAAAGCAAATGCCCTACTGCTGTGCTATCACTCCAGCCCATACAAAATAACAAGAAAGATTAAGAAGTAAATTTAAAATGATTGTTTATAGATTAAGGAAAGAAGTATGTCCTTAGATTAAATTCTGCCCTTTAGTGGACGTTCTAACAGCAGATCTTTGTCTTAGAAGAGCTTCCCTGGAAGGAAGGGACGGGCTTTACATATGCTGATTGTGCTATGTGACCTGTGTGTAGTGGCTATCACCAGCCCTCGGTGGTGGAGCTCTTAACAAAGGCTATGAGAGTGGGCACAAGGGAGACTAGCATGGGGGAAAGTAGGAGACAGGATTGAGAGGCAGTGTCAGACTGGAATGGGGCACTTAGTGAGACTGGAACAGGTGGGCGGGGAGACTGAGATTGAAAAATAAATAGCAACTGATCGACCACCAATCAGCCTGGTGGCTCTGCCTGCTCCCGCATGCATCTGTTGGCTACCTCTGGGGTGTGAAAGCAGCTCATGGCCACCGATCGCACGTGGCAGGAGAGAGTTCATACATTTATTTATTTAATACATTGCTTACATTTTTATTTATTTTCTAAAATTTCTTATTCCCTTTCTTTTCTTTTTTTATTAGTGAAACACCTGAGGTACAGTTGTAGACTTACAAACGTTTGTGCTTGGGTTTCAGTTATACAATGATCCAGTACCCATCCCTTCACCAGTGCCCATTTACCACCAATGATCCCAGTAACCGTCCCCTCCCCAATCCCCCCCCCCCCCCCCGCCTCTGTGGCAGGGCATTTCCTTTTGCTCTTTCTTTCTCAGCCTCTTTAGGGTGTTGTGGTTTGCAATAGAGGTATTGAGTGGCCATCGTGTTCGGTCTATAGTCTTCTTTCAGCATGCTTCTCGCATCCCGAGCAAATGCTCCAAACATCCTTTACTTGGTGTTCCCTTCTCTATCTGAGCTGCCTTTTCCCTCAGCATGTGCTGCCAGCTTCTAAGCCATGGAACAGACTTCTGGTACTTATCTCAACTACTCTTGGGTGTTCGTCTCCCATTCTGTTACTTTATATTCCCCAGATGACTGCAGTCTTTCTATGTCTGTCCCTCTCTTTTTGGCTCATTTCACTTAGCATGATACTTTCCATGTAGAATCACTTGTCATACATTATTTTTTGAACACACACAGGGGTACAAAGTTTTTCTGTTCATGTACTTGAATTCAGGAAATTTAGTTATCATTTCACATGTTTTCTTGATTTCTGGTTTTCGTTGGCCTCAGACATATATACATTCTGAGTCTGCCCAGGGAATGCCCATGGGTGCTAGCCCTGCCGGCAGTTTCCATATAACACAGTTCCAGACTTCCCATAATTTTATTTTTTTGTCTTTTGATACTCTAAAATACTTTCTTACTTGGGGGCTTATTATAGACATTTATTGCTCTCATCTCTGTCTTACTTGTTTCTTTCTCCCATAAAATTATTGGTATTCTCTGCAGAAAATAGTATGACCCGATGGCCAACTTATTAAAATTTCAACTGCTCAAGAATGAAGGAATGATTTATACAAGTATAAAATTTCTCCTTTCTATATACACACACTGCTCTACTTCATTCTTCCTCTGTCTAAAGATATGCATATATCCCATCCATACCTTTTCCTTCCCTCCTGCTACCACTGCCTTTTTGCCTCACTCTTCCATTGCGCCAGTGCCAGCTACCGTCTCATGCAGTAGCAGGCTCCAGATTATTTGCTCCTTTTCCTTGTAGTTGTACTATACGTCCACACTGTCCTCATGACTTCTAAGATTTTGTTTTTAAATCAGGGGGTTTGAGATGGTGTTTTAAAGTAAGACATGAGTGCATCTCTTTATAGCCATGAAACCAGGGAAAGGAACAGAGAGCCCCCTTAGTGTGGTGGCTTTTCAGATCAGCAGAAGGGCAGGGTTATAAAGGAAATACAATTTTAAGGCAGGTTCCGTGTTAGAAGACATTTCTCTTGGTGTACTTGAGTAAGAATTCATTTTATCATCTATGAAAACACTTGCCTTTTCTGAAATTCCACAACACTTAGATTATAAGAGACAGAATGCACAGTCAGAATTATTTAGAGTATGTGGTACATAGAAGTTGGTTAGGGTGTATATTCAGTGAGTGAGGACATGGACAGATGAGCAAAAATAGAATAGTAGTGGGGAGGGTATCCTGGACTCTGTTTCTGTTGTTTCTACTTAACAGGAGTATATATGTATATTTATAAAAATATATATAAATATTTATTTATTTTTCTGAGAGCCAGGTTTGAGAAGAGCATACCTTCCATATTGATCATTACTAGGGAAACACCATTAGTGCCCCAGCCTTCTACTAATGACATTTTAAGCTTTAGGAAATCCAAAAGAATGCTTGGGAAAGAGTTTGTAGTTGTTGACTCGGTGGTGCCAATTTTGTGTTTCAAAGGAAAAAAAATGGATATCAAGAGTATATGTATTTTAGGTCCCTGTTATTGTTGTCATAGTAATGTGCCAGAATTCAGGAAAGATTCATAATATGTTTATCTACTTATTGTCATATTGTTAATATGCACTGTATGCACTGTCCTCCCAGTGTTCATCGATTTGCTCGAGTGGACACCAGTAACAGACATTGTGAGACTTGTTGTTACTGTTTTTGGCATATTGAATATGCCATGGGGAGCTTGCCAGGCTCTTCCTTGTGGGTGGGATACTCTCGGTAGCTTTCTGGGCTCTCCGAGAGGGTCAGAGGAATTGAACCTGGGTCAGCCACGTGCAGGGCAAACACCCTACCTGCTATGTTATTGCTCCACAACAATCACAATCAATCACAACCATCCTGTTATTTGTCGATTGGCTCGAGCAGGCCCCAGTAATGTCTCCTTTGTCCTAGCCCTGAGATTTTTTTTTTAAAAGTGCCATATTCAAGGCTCTTTCAGAGTTAGGATAATGAGACCCTTCATTGTTACTGGTATTTGGTATATTGGGTACGCCACGGGGAGTTTGCCAGACTCTGCTGTATGGACGGGTTACATTCGGTAGCCTGCCAGTTTGTCCAAAGTAGGAATGAGATAAAAAGATGTCATGCGGCCACAAATAGCGGCCGCGCACTTCTGGGAGCTGGTTTTTATAGTCTCTGAGTCGTGGCCGTTGATGGGATTACACGGCGCCAGGGGGCCAGTTGGGGGGTGTGAGCCCTGCCTACTGGAATTTGGAGGATCTAGGTGGAGGATGCTCAGCCCCGATCTGAGTAGGCTTGGAGATCTCAGCCCCGGGACCTTTGTTCCTTTGTTCCTCTGCTGGTACATTCATGTGTGCGGAAGTGGTTATTGCTCCAGCCCATGGTTAATATATATGAACAAAAATAAAGCTTTCCACACTTGATTAAAGTAACATTATAGCATTAGAGAATTTATTATGAACTTCAACCACAGAATAATAATGGAATGGAAAATCAAAGTTATAAGGTTTCAGGTACAAGACAGTCTTGGTCTCTGTGTTTTTCTCATTGATGGTTCTAGAGGGTTCACTTAATTCTATCAAATTCTAAATTAGTGAAAGGCAGGGAGTTAATTTTGTATTTTCTGACTCTGCTTTGCAGGGGAAGATGGTGAAAGGAATGGGAGGTGCCATGGATCTAGTGTCCAGTGCAAAAACCAGAGTGGTGGTCACCATGGAGCATTCTGCAAAGGTAATGCCTGTTGTTTTGGGAAACTCACAGTGTAACAAAACCCAGTACCACAGGTCTCACAACCTCAATTTTTATTGCATTTCATTTTATAAATATTTATAGGTTTGTTGTCTGTTATGTGATCGGCACTGTTACGAATTGCCCATCACCAAAATTATAAACAAGTTGTCTTGGACTCTGTTATCTTGGAAACTGACATTTGGGGACCAAGAGAGGTGGGATCAGGGCTATGGGGGAGGGCCTTGAGCACAGTGGAGGTACGATGACTTTGTACACTAAAAGCATAAATATTGACACTGATATTAACATGTTACCTCAATAATAAAGAATAAAAAATAATTTTTGAAAGAGATCACTGATGATGATGATAATTGACAATTACAGTAATGGCAGTGACATATAATCATCCTCCAATAATGATAGCTTCCGTTTTTCAAACCTATTGTGTATGCTCTGTATATCCTTGCATATATAAGCCCATGATCTTGAAATGGGAATTTCTTATGCTTTAGAAATGGCTTCAGAGAGGTTAAGTAGAAGTCGTATAATTTAGTAGAACAGAGGTAAGAACTGGTGTTTTTGATCCTGGAACCTAGTTTTCTGACTATAGAACTATTAGTATAATATTCTTTTTCCCAACACAGTGTCTTTGGGCCAACAGAACTTATTAATAACTTTCCTCACCTGGCTGTGAATGATTTGCAAATTTGATGATGCTGGATGGTACTTGTGAGTTCACAAAATATAATATGGGGGCTGCTGCTGGACCGACAGTATGTATGCCTTAGGTGGCCCAGAGCTGCCTCCCGACCTTCCCAGGCCTCCCCAACAGAGAGAGAGAGAGACAGGGAGCAGGGGGTCCACAGCCTGATGGTGAAAATGGCCCATTTAATGCAGAGCTGCTAACATATTTATAGAACATCTGAAGTGGGGTTGAGGTAAGGACATAGGTGTGCTTGATCATTTTCATAGATAAACATTTGGTAGAGGAAGTTATCTTGGGGAGATTAACTCAAGGAGACACTCTGTCTAGCAGGGACATCTACATTGCTTTTATCTTCCCCTCTAGTTGTATAAGTTATCAATACTTGCAGTTGTTCACCCAAGGACAGTATAGACAATGACCAGGAAGATTGCTCCATGGTTGGAGGCCTGCCTCATGATCTGGGGGAGAAGGCAGTTGGGATAGAGAAAGGACTATTAAATCAGTGATGGTTGGAGGGACCACTCTGAATGGGAGATGTGTGCTGAAAGTAGATAAAGGACCAAACATGATGGCCTCTCAGCATCTGTGTTGCAAATTGTAATGCCCAAAATTAGAGTAAGAAGAAAATAATCTGCCTTAGAGGCAGGGGGTGGAGTTGGGTGGGTGTGGTGGAAGGGATGCTGAGGACATTGGTGATAGAAAATGTACACTGATGTAGGGATGGTTATTCAATCATTTTATGACTGAAACTCAATCATGAAAGCTTTGTAACTGTATCTCACGGTGATTCAATAATATATATATACATATTAATATATATATATACATATATATATATAAAACCCAATCATAAAAAAAAATACTTGAAGTTGTTTTGATAAATACATTAAGAGACAAAGATACCAACACTTGGTCTCTGGGCTGAGAGCAAGCAAAATACTTAGTTCTCTGGGCTCTGAGAGCAAGAGACGCTTTTACTGTAAATCCCAGACTAAGTCTTCAGACCATTTCAGGTTGTTCTTTCCCATAGGGGTCCTGTCTCTTAAGTCATAACAGTTTGCATCAAGATCATGCATTTATGCTCTCTAGACTTTCTCATTTCAATGCCAGGGTGGCTGTGCCACTTGCCCTAGGTCCATCCCAGTCCCACAGGGGACCTCCCTTTCGGGGTATTAGGAACTACAGCACTGAAGACTGATTCAAGTAATTATGAACAAGAAATTATGACCAGGAGTAGATATATTTCATATTTAATCACTTACAAATATTAGGAGCATAGCATTAACAGTCTTTCTTTGTTTAACCAAAGAACATTGCTCTATAGTAAAATATAAAAAGGCAATAGGTGTAATCGAAAAGTAGGTACAAATACAGAGCACTTCAAATACAAAGAGTGCAAATAAAAAGTTCAGAATTACCAGAAAGTTTGGCTTATAAGTAATCAAGACAGGCTTGGAGAACTGAGACAATGAGAGGTAAAATACAAACGAAAGGTTAAAGATAAATTTTAACTAAATTAGTGATGCTGCACAGACACGATAAGCTTCTCTGGGAGGAGGAAAAGGGGCAATTCACAGATGAAGCCTAAAATACTTTGGGTTAATATTCAGCAGTACCTTTTTCAGTTTCTATGCTCTTTACTCATTTTTTTCTTTTTCTAACTCATAATGTTTAAAGAAAATCTACCAGTTCTTACCCAAGATCTGCTAATCTGAGTAAAAGTGGTAGTTTGTTTGACCTGTTTTTATGTTTTGATAGCAATCGTAGGAGAATTTAGAACTCTGGAAGATTTACATCTGACTTGCTTCCCATGGGTGACTTCTATTATAGAATAATATATATAATAAAATAGTTTAGCTGTAAAAATATGAAATGATCATAAATTGTTTAGTAAACTGTGCAAAGTGAGCATTGACGCATAAATAGGGAACAATAGAAATGCAGCTAATCCAGGTGACTTCTGAGAGAGAGGCCTTGCAAAAGCATCCAAGTGTTTCATTTTAGATGCAAAAGGATGCCAAGCTTGCAAATCAAGTCCAAGTCTTTACAGAACATAATGTCTATTTGGAGAAAATGCTTTCCAACTTCTCTTTTGTTGTTACTTTAATGTTGATGCATAGGCACTGCATTCTGACTCATTTCAGATTATTTTTGTGTGTTGATTTTCAAAACATTAAGCCTGTTTTTAGCAAGTTTTTCTCTGTCTCTTTTTCTCCGAAAAGTCTTTTTCCTCAGCTGAAATTTCTGATAGAGGAAAGGAAATGGTGCCTCAAACTTTTGATTAGAAATCTCTTACGAATTTTAGACCAAAATGAAAGTTGTGAAGTTTCCCCAAGAAATTATTTGAAAAAACTAATACAAATATCTGATTAAATGAATAACGTTTATTCATACGTAATAGTGTGCTAATCTTGAAAACTAACCAGAACTCACAAAACGATCTTGTGGATGGATCATATGTTGGAACACAAAACAAACCTCAGTCAAATAAAAAAAAAATTAAAGTCATGTCAAGTATCTTTTGCAACCATGGGGACATGCAGTATAAATGAACTATAAGAAGAAAGGGCTTGGAGCAAAGTACAGTGGGTAGGGCACTTACCTTGCGAACAGCTGACTTGGGTTTGATCTCTGGCATCCCATATGGCCTCCCAAGCACCTCCACGAGTGATCATTGAGCACAGAGCCAGGAGTAAGCCCTGAGCACTGCCAGTATGGCCCCCCCAAAACCAAAAAAGTCAAAAAGAGGAATATTGACAAGTCATAAATAATGTGTGGATTAAGCAGTAGTCTGTTGAGTCCCCAAAGAAGTCAAAGGAGAAATTAAGAAATATCTGTAGTCAAAGCATGAAAATTCTGTATGCTGGAATTTTTGAGATTACAGTATAAAGCAAAAGCAGTACTGAGAGATTTATAACATCCAGGCTTATTTGAAGAAACAAGAAAAATTCCAGACAACAATCTAACTTTGCATCAAAGAAACTTAAAAGAACAACAAAGAAAGCCTGAAGTCAATAGAAGGAACAAAGTAATAAAAAACAGATGAAAATACATTAACTAGAAGGTAAGGGGGGGGAGAGAGAGAGAGAGAAAGAGAGAGAGAGAGAGAGAGAGAGAGAGAGAGAGAGAGAGAGAGAGAGATGAAGCTAAGAGTTAATTTTTCCCGAAAGAGAGATGAAACCAAGAGTTATTTTTTTATCCAAAGACAGAGAGATGAAACCAAGAATTAATTTTTCGAGAGAGAGAGAGAAACAGACAGAGAGACAGATGAAACCAAGAGTAAATTTTTTCCCCAAATCAAACAAAATTGAGAAAAGGCTAGAACATGTGCCTGGCATGTTTGAGACCCTGAACGCATTCCATCATCCCATTGCCCCAGAATAACACCCCAACGACCCCCAGGCACCACCAGGCCCTGGAGTACCAGAACACTTAGCCCCACCACTTGAAGAGCCCAGAAAAGAAGCGTGACAATTAAAGAGAGGAGAATTTTAGCAACCAAACAAAGAAAGATAGGAAATGCCTCAAAACAAGCTGAAAGATGATGTGACGAGGAGGAGGCTGCTCCTGATGGTGCTGTTGCAGAATACTGAAGAGAAGAGTGAAGCGTGGCATTTTCAGGAAGTACTCAGCAAAGAAAGGAAGGTCCCAGGAGGACCAGTCCCTTGCACTGCTGATGCAGTTTAAATCTAAACTCATTCAAGCAATTGCTGAGACTTCATATGAAGGAAGGATGTCACATCTACTTCAGTTTGTAAATCAAGCAGAAAGTAATGATGACCAGAATTTGCTGGAAAACAGGCCTACAGATAAATGGTTTTATGATAGTCATTGCTCCCAATAGCATCACTCAAGGATGGAAAAAGTATTTTGAGCCCGTTGTCTGGTTTTGAAAAATTAGTAGCAAATGGTTTGGTTATTGACATATGATTTTTCCTATTATTCTTTTAAATTGCTAAATATGAAATAAATCACTTTCCAGTTTACAATATTTTTTACATTAAAAATAAAAATCAGCAAAATTGGCAAACTATCGTTTAAAGTCAATAAAGAATAGAAGAGAAAACACAAATAAAATCAGAAATGAAAGAGAAGGCATTAAACTGGACACCACAGATTTACAACAATTCATCAGAAACCACTCTTAACATCTCTATGTCTATAAATTGGACGATGTAGAATAATTAGGTAAATTCCTGGAGAATCCCGTGTTCTCTCTCAAACATATATGTGTATGTGTGTGCATATATATATATATATGTGTGTGTGCATATATGTATATATACACACACAC